GCTCTGACCTGCGGCCCCCTGAACTGCGGTAGAACACAGTTCTCTTGTTCAGAACCTTTGGTGTGGTGCTGTTCCAGGATGCATAGGAAGCTAATACAAACCCCGAGAAACAAATGCAACATTTCACAGAGATTTCTGCTCTAGCTGCACACATCGGATACACAGCTGGTTAAATCTGAAGGCAAGGTCCATTGCCAGCATTGTATTTTTTGAGACGGAGTCTTGCTCTGTAACCATGACTGACCTCAAGCTCTCAGATCTGTCTATCTCTGCCTCCCGAGTGCTGGGATTAAAGGTGTGGGCCATCAGCTTCTACCAAAACTGTATTTCCTTCAGTCACATTTTATCTTAATTCATATTAAAATATAGGACATATGTCTGAGATTGTCTTCGTAAGTATTAATTGATAATAAGAGGTTTTAGAGATGTCTACCTTTGATGAAACATGCTCAAAACATCTTTTCCTTGAGGTTTCAGAGACTGAAGAAGCTCCTAGATGATGGGGACGCACATCCTGACTCTGCTGCTTCCTTCCTGCTCCTGGACAACAGAAGAGTTATCCAGCTTTCTCTGTCCAGTGGCCAACACAACAGCCAACTGTTCCCGTTGGGCTATTGAGCTGGTAGTGATGATTCATTCCAGTCAGTGATTTCCATGGTGGTTGGCACACTGTGAGCACTGTGGAGTGAACGTTTGTGTCTCCCTCCCCACTTCATTGTCTGATCCTAACTCCTAAGCTGCTGCTACCAGACGTGACACTCTGAAGAACCGATTAGAGGACAAGGGCAGGGATCAAGTGATTGAAATCTGTGTTTCTATGGAAAAGACTGCACGGTGCTCACTAGTCCCACCTGCCTGGTAACAGTGAAGCCAGTAGGTGTCTATGAACTAGAAAGCAGGCCCATGCTGAATGTAGAGACACCTTAATGTTGAATTTCAGTGCTTTCAAAATAGAAATAAATTTCCAATGTTTATAAGCTGCCCAGTTTATGTTACTTTGCAGTTATAATCCAGATGAACTAAGACAGCATGCTACTCAATATTCAACATGCAAACTGGTAGTCTTGTTTTCTTAGTACTTCTAACCCAGGCGGTCAATTTATTCTGCAGACCAATATGGACATTCCACTCACTTCCTGAAGCATTAAATGAATCTATATTGTATATGTGAAAATGTGAGATACTTAATATTGGTCGCATATGACTTCCTGTTGTTGTCCCTTCTGACTGTCTGACTGCCATTTACCTCTATTGGCAAGTCTTCCCAGATGGTCTGCATCAGAAATATTCTCTCTCCTCCAACAAATTTGAAAAGCACAGGTATGAAAATATTACATAACACTTATTCTGAAGCTATTAGTGTAAGCTCTGCCCCACTGGGTAGACTGTGACCTCCAGAAGGGCAGGGCAGGCAGCTTTCTAGCTTTGTAGCCTTCTTAATACCCATGAGACAGATACAAACTTAGTAGATTCTCAATAAAAGGTTGTTAAACTTAGTTGAACCCACAATATTTTTTTCCTTATGGTGAATGCCCTAAGAAAAACATAAAATGAATGAATTACTTTTCTTTCTTCCATGGCAATATATATGCCCTGGGCTAGTGGGTATTTGCAAGCCTGGGTTAGAACTTCGGAAAGTCATCCATCTAAGAAAGGAGAAGAAATGCATTTTAAATCACAAGAACAACAGAGCCTTCTATAAGGCCTTCTAGCAAAAACAATTATTGATGTCTGCATGGCCCAGGTGCTAAGTGATCAGAAGCCAATGCCGAGGGTGAGACGCGGTGGATGATCCTCAGTCGTGTTCCATAGGTAGGCAATTCGGTGAAATGTGCACAGATGGAAAGTTTAGGTCTGGGAATCATGTGGGCGTCATAATGCAAATAATTGACTTTCCTTCTGAGGAACATCTGTCGAAGCATCTGAAAGCAGTTGTTTATCCTGCTGCCAAAATGCTGAGAAATATAATAATTCTCCAATGAGGCTAGAACTATCCAGGGGAAGAAAAATGGTTTTTTTATGTAGCTCCGTTTTTATTAAATCTTGTGGTTGTTTCTCTAACGTAGCACATAGGAGATGTTCAATAATATTTGTTGAATGAATGCTGAATGAAAAGCAGAAACTCATTAAACAGTTGTTGAAGGAATCATTTTCCATTTTTAGACTCAGAAGATACATTTTCAGAAAATGGTGTGCCCACAAAGTTTTATCATGTCGTATACCATTTTTATTTGGCATAAATTTAAATAATGCCAACCTTGCTCTGTACATTATGGGGTGCAATCAGCATGCATCGCTATAAGAGGAAATAGTCTCAACATTATACAAAATGTATGAATAAAGTTAGATTTTAATATCTTAATGTTACTTCAATTCATTATTATGAAAACAGTAAAATTTAAATTGCAGGCTTACAAAGTTATGACTGTTTCAATAAACAGAATTAAAATTTAAAACCCAGCTAGTGTCTATAGCTGTAATACATCTAAGAAGATTCCACTGAGATTTAAAAGACTAGGATGTTCTGGAGTGTCTGGAGGATTATAGAGCTGGAGGATGGCGCTTCTCTGCCTGATCCTTCTCTTGTTCTCACGTGTGAGAGAGGCAGGCAGGCTTCCCAAGGCCTCCCAGAATTACTCTGCAAACTTTCAGTGCAGATAGTGCATGCTAAATGGCAGATGGAGTTTGAGTGTAACTAGTAAAATTACAGTGCTAGAAAGGATCATTGCTTTGAAAAACCAGCCTTTCTGTGGGAACGGCTCCTAGGCAAGACCACAAGAAAGAACACTGAAGGGAGCAATGCTAATTGGTAATGACTCTCTCCAGAAATCCTTTGCTTTTATGGTCACCGTGACACAGCTTAGGAACCTCCATGCAGGTGCTCGAAGGAAGCAGTTCAAGCCGTAATCAGAGTCATCTTTCATCCGTGAATAGACAGAAGAGCTCGTTTCCTTCCGGTGTATCTAAACTGTACACATGCACACATATCACAGAGGATCATGAGTTATAGAATCTGCTCACAAAGAGTTACAAATAAAATGGTAAGTCCATTATGCTTATGATGCAATAAGAAAATTACAGCTGAATCCAAACTGAATTCATAGCTCTTAATCTCTGATTTCTTGGTTTCAGTCTACCTTCATGTACAAAGTGTGCCTCTTCGTGGGGTGAGGAACAGGATCTGAGTCCTGAATTGTCTCTATCGCAGGTATCAGACCTGACTATGGACAAGTTACTTAGGGCTCTGTCCTTTAAGTAACAAAAACAGAATGCGCGTCTTGATTAAAAGAATTGACACACATCAAGATAACTAGTTTATTAAACTCATTTTTTATTGGAATATTTTATGTCTGTCTCCAGAAGTTAACTAGCAAATGAATGACAAAAGTCATCTGAAATGGACTGAGAGAGCTCAGAAACGGAGCACTTAGAAGATAAATAATACCGAGTATTATCTAATGGAATTATATATTAACCATTATGTGGTTGGATATTACATAAGTAACAAAATAAGATTATTACTCCTTATTCCTGAGACTTGAAGGTTGTCAATAAGAGAATGCTTGGCAAGAAGGGTTACCCAAAAGGCTTGTAAGTTTTCATCACTATTTGTTCTGAATAGCTTTGTGCAATTCTTTTCCAATTCATTACAGTTTTCAATATGTATTCTGTTAGTTTAAATGTTAAATTTCATGCAGACACGACTTAATGAAAATTAAGGTAGAAATTCAGAATTAGTTAAAATTTATAACTGATTATATTAAGGTATTAATGGGCTATTAATTAAGTCTATTGTATGTGACAAAATTTGCATTTACCTCATTTTACTTAATTTTAAGCAATTAAAACTAGAAGTTACTTATAAAAAAAGTCTAGCCATTGTCAATTTTACATTCACAATAAAGTCAAATGTTTATCACAATGTCAATATTTTGACCTACTAAAACTGAAAACATTTTTTTAATTAAAAAATAAATCTCACTCAAAAGCCCCAAAGGTGCCTTTCACATTTAAGCTTTAATTAGCAACCACTTTGGTCTCTGACACACATTGTGCAGGCATTGAAGTGTTAATATTACCAAGGCTTGATTACAAAAGGCAAGGATTAATTTCGGAGGAGACAAAAAAGATGATGCCCTGATTACAAAGGATGATTACGGGGGAATGTCAAGACATTGTACACCTGTAGGAGTCTTTGCTAGCCTCCGAGGGTGAGACTTTGCAGAAGTTGATACTTAAAACCCCGGGTCCTTTGCACTTTATAACACCGGTGTCTGTGTCTTGCACACTGGGCTTCCCAGCTCTACCAAAGGCCCAAACCCCTTAGTGCAGAATGGCTGCAGATGGTCCCACGCACTCCTGTAGTTCACTTCTCGCGAGGCCAGCACGAGTCTTTCTCCTCCCTCCCGGGCCCAGTTCTCGCGAGAATAACAACAGGCAAGCACAAGGCCTTCTCCTCCTGGGTCCAGTTCTCGCGAGGCCAGCACGAGGCCAGCACGAGGCTGTCTCTTCCTGGGTTTAGTTCTCGCGAAGCCAGCACGAGGCCAGCATGAGGCTTCTCCTCCAGGGTCAAGTTCTTGCGAGAATAGCAAAGAGGCCAGCACAAGGCCTTTTCTTCCCGGGTCCAGTTCTCGCGAGTCCAGCACGAGGCTTCTCCTTCCAGGTCCGGTTCTCGCGAGGCCAGCACGAGGCCAGCACACCCTAGGGGAAGCTCCCTGGAGAGGAGCGGGAAGTTTCGCCCCCCAGAGGCTGCTGCCCTCCCCCTTGGCTTCTCGGGGCAGCTGCACCCACCTCAGAAGCAGGCAAGGCTGGAAACCCTCAGGGCGTGGCGGAGAGGACTGAGGAGCAAGGCCCCGGCCTCCGCCCTGCCAGCACGGCCTGCGCAGGCGTGGGTGCTGCGGGCAGCCCAGCTGGGCACCGCCACGGAAGCCTTCTTGTTTGTTTTCCAGGATCCTCAGGCTCCGGTATAAAATATTTAAAGGCGCACGAAGCTTCCCGAGATGAGTCTGGAGTCATTGTTTGAGCACATCATCTTCACTGAGCACCAGGCGGAGGAGAGCCGCAGGGCACTGCGGGAAGGTCAGGGGCCCTGCCCTATGGGGCCTTCTGGAGCGGGGTGTCAGGAGCAGAGGAAGGAGGGGAGGTCAAGGAGGGGAGTTTGCAGTCTGGAGGGAACGAAGTTGAAAAGTCACATGCCAACTGCTTCTGAGATGGAGACTTGAGACTCAAGGTGCATGTGAGTTAAGATTTTGTGCGCGCTTGTGTGTTGCAGTGAGATCAGAAATTACCAGATGTCGTGGGAGGATTAAGAAAGCGACAGAGGATCTCAATGAAGAGAAAGTCAAGTTGGAATCCAAGGTAAGGATGCGTAGAGCACGCTAATTAGGGCTTGAGAAGATCTGATCTCGGCTGTGGGAAACTGTCACTGTTTACTTACCCTTCAACCAGGAAACTCGAGAATTAGATACTCTAGTTCTGTGTTGTCTAATATTTAATGTTCTGAACCCGGCGGTATCTTTAGGAAGTGGCCCCAAGGAAGCCAGCCTTAAATAACGAATTCATTGTCCATTTTGTGTGATGGTTAATGTTTATAAGAGAACACAATGTCGTTGAAAGAATAATTGTTCAATAAGTAGTTAGTGCAGCATATAAATTTTAAATGCTAAATAATTTAGGTATGCTGTGTGGATGTAATGGATTGCGTGTATCTTTCAATGTGTATCGGCTCTCTGCTTCTCAGTTCGCTACCACATTTTTGGACATGCCTCATCTAAAAGTATCCTTTTCTCGCTCTCATTTCTCCTTCTGATGCCTTTGTAAAGTCCTGGGTTTTAAAAAATTGAACCAAGAGAATCCGCTAGCTTTAGGAAAGATTCTGAGCTCTGGGTAGAATTTCGGGGAAGCAAAGAGATGTAGTAGAAGAAACCTTGTAGCAAAGGGAGGGAGGACTCTAGACCCCAGCCGAGGGCTGGTGCATACAGTAGGAGGAAAGTGATTCTGGATTTGACCAGAGAGGGGCAACAAAAGTGCTTTTAGGGGGCTCTTTGCACCCTGATCACGAAGATGGGACAGATAGTGAAGATGGTGAGACCACATGGAGGCCTCACTCTGGATAGAAGGACACAGACGTCCAAGATAGTGTTCCAGCACTTAAAGATTAACTACGCAATCAGTGTGCATAGTCTTGTTTACATAGTTACTATACTTTTGTCTATAAAATATTCATTTTCTTACATACTGAATATAAATTTATATGTAAATTAAATATAAATTTGTAAATGATCACTCTAATTTAGCTTACAATTGTGAAGAATTTTAAGTTTTCTGTGAATAATGTAATTCTGGAGGCTTCAACCCCCAGTGAGTATCTATTCTTCTTTCCCATCCTGCTCATACATCATAAAGTCCTCCCTGGATAGCTATGTAAAATTCTTCTACCAATCATCAGCCAGACTCCTGTTTTCAGTCTTTGAGAGGAACATTTTTAGATTTATTTTTCTTATCCACCTTTATTCTCCTTGTGTTTCTTGCTTAAAAAACATTGTATGTGAGTGTGTTCATTACTAAGAGTGTAAGAGTAAGGAAAGAGCTATCTTAATTTCACAAATTTGTACATGTTTGTGGGTCCATGTGTTTTTTGCATACATTTTATAATGCTCAAATCCAGGTTAATGTGTGTAGGCCAACATTTATCTTCTCTTTGTGGTGAAAATATTACATATCTTTGAATCTTTTAGTGTATGTTATTAGCTATAGTCACCATGCTGTCCAATAGAATACCTGGATGCATTCCTCCTAACTGTGAGTACTGCACCACCCATCAGTCTGTCCTTGCCTCCCCTTTCAACTAGAAGAGACTGTCTTTGAAAATATAACTTGGGGCTATTATTCATTGAGCCCTTAGCTCTTGTTTTTCCTATAATGAGAGAGAAAGTAGCCCGCAGTGACAATGCCCAAAGCTGGTGGGATGGCCAAAACATGGAGTGTCATGATGTAGCTGTCTTTTCCTTGAAGAAAATTAAGATAATTTGAAAGTTGGCAAATAGAAGCCAATGAAGAAAAGGGTCACAGAGAGAAAGAGAGACAGAGAGAAAGACAGACAGACAGACATCACCACCTCCATACTCCCTGGTCTTGCCTGCTAATAGGGCTCATGTCCTGGGTACTGTCCAAAGACCACATTAACTCCTTTAGTTCTGGCAGTCACGCTGAGAGAAGGAGCCATCATTCCACTTTTGTAGGTGGAGAAGCTGAGTGTTGAAATGACCTGTCTGTAACATATAATATAAAACCAAAATAACTACCACAAAGACACAATTGATTAAGGAAAATATATCTCTATTAAAACAGATTCTTGAGCTCATCCTAATCATTCTTTCATGACATGTAGTAATGTGTCTGAAGCTTTGCATTAGGAGCAATATTCTTTAAAGGTCACCTCTGTAAGTTTTTGTATAAAGTTCATTTTTTCTGGGATTGAAGATATTGTCCTGACAGCAGATAGTAAATATTTTATTTTAAATGTTTTTTCCTTTGTAATGTTTCTTTTGTAAGACAAATTATTATTCTTTGTAATACTTTCTTTGTTAGCTACCTGTTTTACCTGATAATGGAAATGTGGTGTTGACATCTACACACACTTAAAGAAAATGTTGATTTAATTGTTTGTGCCAGAGAAAACACAGCAAATCTCTAATATTGTTTAAAAGCATTCATTGACATTACTAATTAATATAGGCTCATAAATGTCCATTGCTTTTTAATCAGCTCATATACATGGGTAATAATCTAATTGTATCTTACTAATAAAACTAGCATATGAGGGTCACAGTTCATACAACATTAACTTGTAGTTGAGGTAATTTGATTTATAATTAGAGTCAAGATGGTGTGTATATATAAAGATTTTAAAGTGGAATTAAGATTATAATGTAAATGAATAATGGGAAGAGCTAGAGTAGTAATCATAAATTGATTCTCTGTTTCTTTTTTAATCAGAGTTAATTATATGTCTGCCAATAACAATGAAAATACATTTACTTGAATATTTGACTTGGTGCTTATTGACCCATTTATCAAACAGAAACAGCATGAAGAGAAGCTAGAACATGACTTCACTAGAGCAATATTTTAGCTCTTGTATATTTGTATATTCAGAAACTATTTGGTCATTTATTTAGGAAATTGCATGTGGTCAAAAATATATTCATAAGTATAGTATTCTTTTTTCCCCTAATCTATGGAACCTAGGTAGCATGTAATTAGAACTTGAATGATAGCATTTGCCTTTCAGGGCTGGATGAGTCTTTTAAAAGTCTCAGGTTGTATGAGTGAGTTGGGCAGCTACAGTATGCCCAGTTATGCTTAGTATGTGGAAGCAGAAGCTGGGAGAACGCTGTGGTTTCCTTAACGTTCACTGGTCTGCCTAAAGTTCCACTGGTCAGTGGAAGGGTTTGTAGTGTGTGTCAGAGGAACTAAAATTAAGGCTTAGAGAACTAGCATAATTTCTTAGAAGCAACCCATTGAGTTTCTTATGTGTAAAAAATGGCAGGTAATTATAGTGTGGGTAGTTTTTATAAACATATAAAACCCAATACTTCTCCATACTCCTGTGAGATGGGTAAATGGAGGAAAGGATTAGACTAATTATCACATTTGCCATATTTTGCTGGATAAATATATTTTTCTTTTTTAATTTTGTGATTATAATATAAACATTCTCACCTCTCCTTTCTCCCTCCTAACCATCCCATAAGCCTCTCTACTCTCCTTCAAAATCATGGCCTACTCTTTTATTGCATGCCTGTATGTATATGTAGGCACATATGTATTCCTAAAAGTAACCTGATTGGTCTGAATGTTACTTGTAGGTATGCAGAAACACCTTAAGAACAATAAAATAATGTTTTATGAATTCTAAAGAGAATATATTAGAATGAAGTAATAAAAAGGCTCCAGTTATATTTTATATGTAAATGTAGACACTCGGCCATCTAATTGGTAAGGTCAGTCACTCTCTCAGAACTTGCGAAGGCATCTTTTGGTTCTGAATTATTAAATCAAGGAAAAAAACCATAAATAATTACATATTATACATGATAAGTTAATATAAATTTATAATATTAAAACAGAAGGTTTTAGTTGAGGTGATTTGTTTTCTTTTAAAAATTGTGTATTAAAGAAAATACTGCTTATACTTTTTTAATTGATAAAATTTACTTAAAGACATGGATGAAAGAAGACTCTTGTTAGCTCATTGCACAACAGAGATTCTGCTGAAAAAATAATAGGGTGTTGCTGGCTCATGTAACTGGAGATTCATGACGTTCTCAGATGTCCTTGTATCAGGCCACCAATAGCAAAAACCTTGCCTTTGTGGGCTCACTGAACAATAGTTGTTGTTTCCACATGTGCTAGAGGTCCGGAAGGGTACAGACCGTTTATTAAAGCTCAGTTATTAGCTTGTTCTTGTTCTGTGTGTGTTGTCACCGTCCTGCTCTGTTCCATGCATCCTTCCGGAGCACTGTTCTCGTCCTCGACAGTGTTCCTGAAGCTTGGAGGGAGAAGGATGGAGACCAGTAGTTGCTGCTCTGCTGTGCAGCCCAGTGTTTGAGGGTTTTAGGAGGAAAGTCCTCAAACATTTCAACCTGCAGCGCAAGGGTCAGAACTTAGTATTCAGCATTGGCAGGGGAGTCTGGGATTTTGTTTGGTTTAATAGGTAGGATCTCAATCTATACCTGGGGTTGGCCTTTAAATCTGCATCTATCCTAGGCTGTCCTTGAGCCCTTGATAATCCATGGTGTAGGAGGTTCTTCTTTCCATGTGTTGCTTTCATTTTCTGAATAAAGAAACTGTCTTGGCCAGTTGATAGGGCAGAACATAGGTAGGCAGGGAAGACAGAACTGAATGCTGGGAGGAAGAAGGGCTGAGTCAGCGAGATGCTATGGATCCACCACCGGAGATAGATGTGCTGAGACTTTGTTGGTAGGCCAGAGCCTCGTGGTGATATACAGATTAATAGAAATGGGTTAAACTAATATGTAAGAGCCAATAAGAAGTTAGAGCTAATGGGCCAAGCAGAGATTTAATTAATACTTTCCTATGTGATTATTTTGGTTCTGGACACCTGGGACAAATAAGTGGCCTTCCCATTACAGATTGGCTTATCTCTGCCATGGATCCTCCGCCTGAGACAGACAGTAGTTAGAATCTTTGCTGGTAAGCCACTGCCACACGGTGATAAACAGATTCATAGAAATGGGTAAATTAATGTAAGAGTTAGCCAATAAGACGCTAGGGCTAAGGGGCCAAGCAGTGTTTTAATTAATACAGTTACTGTGTGATTGTTTTGGGGCTAA